ATTAATAATTGGGTCTGCTTATAGGCTCACCAATCTCACTTCTGGTTGCTAACGTCTATATGAACAAGTTAGAAAAGTATTCCAAAGCGTCACCTCATCAGTCAACTTGGGTGACTACTTCGTACCCTGGTCGCATCGGAAATAGAAATTGGATAAGTTCATAATCTTATTAAACGATATTGATGGGAAAGTGAAATTTACAATAAAGATTGTGAAGGACAGACAGTAAGCCTTTTTGAAAATGTGAGTATTCCGGAGTATGATGATAAGAAACATACAAGTGATATCCAAAGGAAATAATACAACGAAACGTACGAGTCGTAATGGGATGACGCTGGGGATCATAAAGGACATGGCTACCCTCCTGCAAGCTGGACAGGAAGCTGCTAATTAAACCGAACGTTCGTAAGATCCTGAAAGAAAGGACGACGTTTTTCACAAACTTACACATACAACATGAAGAGTTAACAAAATGGAATGCACTGAAATTTACTGCATAAGCTGCAAGGATATTGAACAAAGGAATATAGGAGAGACAGGAAAGACAATAAATTCAAGTTTTAAGGAACACAAGTGACTATACAGAACCAAGGATACAAAAGGAAAGAAGCTACCTGATAGGACACACCATTGACTCTAAGCAAAACAAAAACTGACTTCGTATGGGGAAAGTAAAGAACGAAATATCAGGGAGGCCGAGGATGACCTCGTTCAAATAAACTTAATGACCAGGAGATTGGAAGAGGGAACCCAATAAAAATTACACTTATTCTTCGGACAGGCCTGGAAAAATTCAGTATTCTGCAGGGACAGCTAAAAGGAGACTATTGGACTAAGGACATCTATTGAGTAACAAGAAGAGGATTTAGAGGTAGAAATTAAGGTCGAGGGAATGCGATTTCTATGAGAGCCAAATCTAGAATCAGCTTCAAACAATTATAGGGGAGGGTCCATCTTAGGGTATAAAAATAAAGGATGAAAAACGTTCGAATGATAAACAATTATGGATGCAAAATTCAGGATCCAGATCTATTTCAAATCTACTTAGGTATGGCAATTAGAGTGGGGGTATAATATCAGTTGGTCTGGAGACGTTAAGTATGTGTGTATCAGCAGTGAGACACTATGTGGCTCATGACAAACCTAGCAAGGGCAGTCATTAAACAACAACACGATATACAAGAGGAAAGTGCTTTAATTGATTCAGAGTATACACTGAAGTGGTTAATCTCTATACTAGCAGTTTCTAATGAAGCCAAGCAGAGGGCCCCAAAGGATGAGAGAACATCGGTGGGAAAGAAGACAACTGGAAAATGGCGTTTCTGAAGCCTAAGGGAATATAAGCGTGAAAAACCACCGTTTTTGAAAATATTCAAACGTAAACAGAGACCGGAGTCGAGCGCTTATAGACAGCCAGTTAGCGATTTTCATGAGCAAAAGGCAGCAGCTGACAAGTTGGATGAAGAGTCAGTGGAAGTGTTGAATGAATCCCAGAAGAGCTGGTGAAGATTATGCTCTACGAAATTCCCTAGAAATGAGTCGCTCTTAGCAGACCTCGGAGCAAACGAAGATAAGTAAATTAGATTGAGGATGAGATGAGGCGCTAGAAATGGCAAGAGAGATGCCAAAATGGCTGAACAAAAAATTTATCAAGGGGACTGCCTTCATTTGTCACTAGGATTGGTAATAATTGTGTGCCAAAGATGACGCCTTTCAGTGAACATGCTGACTACAATGCCGGCGAAATGTTTTAGAATGTACTAAGTAAACAGTCCGATACTGGACATTATCGTGAATATTATGGCAGAAGAAGCAATACTAGGTATGTTATGAAGGTCTTGCTTTCACTCACGAGGTCAAACCAACAACGTAGGCAAAGCAATATTAACAAACTAACCAATAAATCAAAGATTGGTCTGAAAAATTAGATTCAGCAAGATTCGGGAAACAAGGAAGGCCAGGATTGAAACCCATAATAAGCTTGTAATTGGGAAATAAAACCAAATTTTTCTAAGATATACAAATTGGCACATAATAGAAAATACTTTAAGCAAAAATCAAAAAGTGGATAGGCCTAGCAAGTGTCTCACATAGATAAGACCTTACAATTTTTTAGGAGCCTGGTCACAGGATCTACCTTCAGACAAGATAATCGGCCCGTAAGACGAGTATTAGCCAACTCACCTGGCGATTCCACAATAAATATAAAAATAACTGTTATGAGAGTATACTTTGTTCACGATGTACACATTACATGTAAAGTTGATACTATTAAAAGCATATAATTGAGCGAATGGATAAAATTATAAGTGAGTAGAATGGATGCCATCAAGACAAGAAAAGGTGCCTGGAAAGTTGGCAAAGTTAGAAAATTAAAAGCATTGGTCAAAGCCTAATTGATAAGAGTTTATGAGTAGGTCACATTACAGAGACATCAATTAAAAGTAGCCAAGAGCCTATCAGCAGGGCCAGATGGTAAAGAAATGAATTTTACAACATAGTGTTAATGCAAGACATAGTTTAAGCACTTATGAAAAAACAAAAATGATATCGCAGAAATAAATGAAAACAGTCTATTAATTGAAGATGTGAAGACCAAGATGTTGTGGCCTCGGGTATGGTCGCACTTCTACAGTCTATTAATCTTTCCATCAATACATTAAGCATTACATCTATTCATATATAAATCCCCCTGAAGTCTGAGATCAAGCCTCTACTTGAGTTGCAGTCTCCTTTCGCTGTATAGAAGCTATTTGCGCAACTTGATAGTGTTGTCAGGTGGACCTAGTGTAACGTTCCTTGTCCGAAGTCATTTGTTATGGTACATTTCCAAATCAAGGGTCAGAGAGTGAGAATGATATTGATTACTCTAGCAGACTCCTGACAAATTGAGCCCAACTAGGCACCTTGATGACACGAACTAGTTGTGAAAATGTTGGTAAACCACTTCCATAAATTCTCCTAATTTACTAACCATCTGCAGCCGATGAAACAAGTTTCAGTACTATAAATAATCCATTAATTCAACCTGAAAAAAACTGGAAAAATTGGAAATAGCATAGAATGAAGTAATATAAAAGTTGGCATGTGTAGATAACTTACAACAGGACCGGTAGGATCTATACAGTTACGCTCGCTCTGCATACAATCACATCGGTCTCCGGTGTAGCCAGGTTTGCATTCACAAATGCCATCGCACCTGCACACTCCGCGCTGAGGTCCTCCGCAGACCTGATTATCATCCGAAGCACGTTTACATCCCTGGCGGTCGCATTCACAAAAGCGGCCGTCAAATCGAGACTGCTGACATTTACAACGGCCGCAAGTGCAACGCCCACGACCGGAGCAGGGCTTAAAGGCAAGAATAGACAAACACACACAAGGGATATGATAAATAAGTGGATGCATCTACAAATATACGGGCGAATAATAAACATATAAAATCACATTGGAAATTGAGAGGCAAATATATCTTCACATAATACTATTTATCCAACTCTCTCATTCACATGCAATATGATCTTACTAGATACCTGTTTGGCGCCCGGCTGGGTGCACTCGGCCAGCATATCGGCCAACCGGTGCTCCGGCCACCTGGCGGCATCGCACTCGCAGAAGTCACCAGTATGACCCCGTTGGCATTGACAAGAACCACAGACTAGCCGGCCGCGAGCTGAACATCGACGTACAGCCAGAGGTAATGTGCCCAACTCTGATCCCGCCTCTAAGGATTCTTCGGATGATGGCGAAACTTCGGGTTCGGCGACTGGAAGGAGAGTGGATGAATCGACAGCGCCAGTTAGACGACTGCAAGTGGGACAATTGCAAGCAGAGCTGACAGCCAACACAGCCTGGAAATCGAGAGATAAATGCGAAGCTAAGAAGTATACGTAAGTTTGTGGCGGCTGAAGTAAAAACGAAATTTAAATGGAGCAGAGAAGGGATGACAACACAAAAGCATGCCTGGTGGATACGGATGGAGAAGCAAAGCGAATTAGTTTTGGACGAAATATAATCACACATACTATAAAATCACAAGTAAAAAATAAATAAAGATTATTCCATGGAATTGGAATCTATGAACCAACGAAGCGAAAAATAGCAAAATATAGAAAGATTGTACTTATAAATGTGTAGCTTGTAAAATCTTTCTTCAGTAGGCTAGAGAGGAGTTATCATCCGATGAATATGCAACTGAGGATAAGTAAGGATACACAAATAACATGGGCAGATGTGTGCAATCGTAGTTACATGTAGGAGGATTCGATGTGAGTGGCCAAAGAAACTATTTGAGATGGACTACTAGATATGAGATCTACAAATGTGAGAGCAAGATAGATAATGGTCATAAGGTCAGCAAACTGATTATGAATTCTTCCAAGGAACTAGAAAGACGCAAAATAGAACGATTTCGCCTAAGTTTTATTAATGCTAGAAATAAAAGTTTAGCCATATCGACTTACCTAAAAGTAACAGTATTACAAAATAGTATTATTTTTAGTGTCTATGTATATATTTGGCTCAGAGACTTAGTTTAATTCAGACGTATATTCGCTTATAGTCGTTAAATATTAAGATAAGTAAAATTGAGATCTTTTTTCATACAGCCTTCAATAAAAATAAAGGTTGAAAAACATTCACAAGAAGTTAAATAAAAGGATAGAATTTCAA